TAAATAAACTTACATACATCGAGTCATTTAAATGTCGTATATTACGTTAATATACACATTTTCATTAATCCATCCATGATATTTTTTTCAAAATTATATAATAAACACAATGCATAACATATAAATAAGATAAATACACCCCACAGTAGAATAAATAAACATAAATGTGAGATGTGAGCAGACGACTTCCACAAGTGACGCCATAATAACAATACTCACCGAGTCTCATTAAATGTCGTATATTACGGTAATATACACATTTTCATTAATCCATCCATGATATTTTTTTCAAAATTATATAATAAACACGATGCATAACATATAAATAAGATAAATACACCCCACAGTAGAATAAATAAACATAAATGTGAGATGTGAGCAGACGACTTCCACAAGTGACGCCATAATAACAATACTCACCGAGTCTCATTAAATGTCGTATATTACGGTAATATACACATTTTCATTAATCCATCCATGATATTTTTTTCAAAATTATATAATAAACACGATGCATAACATATAAATAAGATAAATACACCCCACAGTAGAATAAATAAACATAAATGTGAGATGTGAGCAGACGACTTCCACAAGTGACGCCATAATAACAATACTCACCGAGTCTCATTAAATGTCGTATATTACGGTAATATACACATTTTCATTAATCCATCCATGATATTTTTTTCAAAATTATATAATAAACATGATGCATAACATATAAATAAGATAAATACACCCCACAGTAGAATAAATAAACATAAATGTGAGATGTGAGCAGACGACTTCCACAAGTGACGCCATAATAAAAAATACTCACCGAGTCTCATTAAATGTCGTATATTACGGTAATATACACATTTTCATTAATCCATCCATGATATTTTTTTCAAAATTATATAATAAACACGATGCATAACATATAAATAAGATAAATACACCCCACAGTAGAATAAATAAACATAAATGTGAGATGTGAGCAGACGACTTCCACAAGTGACGCCATAATAACAATACTCACCGAGTCTCATTAAATGTCGTATATTGCGGTTATATACACATTTTCATTAATCCATCCATGATATTTTTTTCAAAATTATATAATAAACACGATGCATAACATATAAATAAGATAAATACACCCCACAGTAGAATAAATAAACAAATGTGAGATGTGAGCAGACGACTTGCACAAGTGGTGATAATAACAATACTCGCCGAGTCTCATTAAATGTCGTATATTACGGTAATATACACATTTTCATTAATCCATCCATGATATTTTTTTCAAAATTATATAATAAACACGATGCATAACATATAAATAAGATAAATACACCCCACAGTAGAATAAATAAACATAAATGTGAGATGTGGTAGCAGATGACTTGCACAAGTGGTGATAATAACAATACTCACCGAGTCTCATTAAATGTGTATATTGCGGTAATATACACATTTTCATTAATCCAGCCATGATATTTTTTTCAAAATTATATAATAAACACGATATATAACATAAAAAGATGATAAATACACCCCACAATAGAATAAATAAACATAAATATAAGATGTGGGAGCCTGGTTTGTTTACATAACTCTGCGCCTGTTACCTCTCATGTACTCATTCTTTCTCTCTCTCATTTATTCGTTTTATCTCATTTACTTACTCCTGACCCAACATTAAGACTACAAATATTTTAAGGTAAGTAATGAGTGAACTGTATATACATTTTATCGCTCTGGGATGCTTAAATATCATAGAATAGTATGTGTGGGTGGGGTGGCCTGGTGAGGTAGCCTGGCTATTACAATACATACCACACTTGATTTCTTACAATAAATACTACTTGTCTCACCCTAGATTAAGACTATAAATATTTTAAGGTAAGTAATGAGTGCACTATGTGTGTATTGTACCTTTTTATTGTTTTTTGATGCCTGGTTCTATTGCTAACTTAATATATGTTAGTGTAAACTTGTTATCTAGTGTTTGTATGCATTTATAAGTGGAAAAAAAGGGTGTTCCACTTTACGGCGATTTCCGCTTTACGGCGGTAGCCTGGAACCTAACCTGCCGTATAAGTGGGGCCCTCCTGTATTCCCCAGTGAAGCGGCAGTATGTACGACGTAGCATGCGGTCTGGTAGTGTTTCATATGCTGTTCCAAGGGGAAGGAGAAACTCTGGGAGCACATCCCGTGGCCCTACACCACGACCTGATAGTGAAGATGACGATATTGTTACGATGGGTATGAATGATGTGAGTGAGGGAGCAGGCAGTGGTGGTGGTAGTGATGATGGCACGGCCCATGTGGCACCAGCAGTGGGCCACGCTACTACCCACGTTGCTGACTCTGCACAACAACAACCAGCCTCACCCGACCCCACACTCCCACAAGCTGCACAACCACAGTACAATATCCAGAACCCACCAGCAGACCGCATCTGGGATTGGCAGGACAGTGACGAGTTTGTTCCCAGTCCCCATGACTTTGATGAAACACGAAGTGAAATAAAGCCATCATGTCCACTTGGGAACAATGCTAGTGAACTGGAATGCTTTGAGTATTCTTCAAAGAACCCCTGATGAACATCATTGTCAGGGAAACCAACACATACTATGATTACACCATGGCAAATACAATTCTCTCACCAAAATCACGGCTACACCAGTGGAAGGAGACAACTGTGGCAGAGATGTACCTGTTTTTTGCCACAATAATGCTTATGCCACATGTGTATAAGCACACTGTCACCACATACTGGGCAACAGAACGCCTGATTTCAACTCCAGGTTTTAGTGACATTATAGGTGTCAATCGTTTCCTGATACTGTTACGTATGTTACACTTTTCAGACAAAACCAGGCCTGACAGAACCAACAGGTTATATAAGATCAGAAATGTGTTTATGTATGTGAAACAAAAGTGCTGCATGCATTTTTACCCCTTCAGGAAGCTTGTTATTGATGAGTCCTTGATTTTATTCAAAGGAAGACTCTCATTCAAGCAATATATACCAAACAAGAGGAAACGCTTTGGTATAAAGTTATTTGTACTGCGTGATTGCAGAAATGGTTTAGTTTCGGATATCATTGTGTACACTCGCAGTAATACTTTGAGAGATACCATGAAGTTATTGGGTATCTCTGGCGATGTGGTTAGAACAATGATGGAACCATATCTTGTTAAGGGGCATATGTTATTTACTGATAACTGGTACACAAGCCCCTTACTGAGTGATTTCTTGCGAGTGAACCTTACAGACGTGTGTGGCACAGTGCGTGGTAATCATAAACATATGCCAAGGTTCAACGCTGGCACTCGCAGAGGTGAGGTGCAAGCCATTGCTGCCAATGACATCGTGGCATTTCGGTGGCATGACAAACGTGATGTCACATTGTTGACATCAGTTCACCCAAACGAAATGGCACACAGTGGCAGGCACAACAGAGAGACCAACGAACCCATTCTAAAGCCTGCAGCTGTCATGGACTGCAACCTCAATATGCGCTTAGTGGACAAATGTGACATGCAGATTGGGTTTGCAGATTGTGTACGCAAGAGTTATAAGTGGTATATAAAACTTTTTTTCCATCTTGTTGATATCTCCATGCTAAATGCTTATAACATATACAAGTTGAAGACCAACAAAACACCAAAATATGGTGAATTTTGTTTGTCAGTAATCAGACAAATAATCGCAAAGTACCAAGGAGCAACATCTGCAATAGACCAGCACCCACGAAATTACCCACACACACAATCTCGTTTCAGGCCTGATGATCACTACCCCATACAACTGCCTCCTACTACTGCCAAGAAAAATGCTCAGAAGAGGTGTTATGTATGTACACATACCACAAAACGCTCACAAACACGCAGAGACACTCGCTTTATGTGTGAGGAGTGTCAAGTGCCACTCTGCATATACCCATGTTTCAAAGAGTTCCACAAGCTGCAGCAGTTCTAGGAACATGTTCAGTGACTGTACATATGTATATATATTATGGAACAATAGTAATAAACATTGTTTTGTATTGTTTGTTTGTGTAAACAAAGTGTATACACAAACTAATAGTGATAAAGTTTGTTCAGTTATTGTGTTGTAAACAATGAGTGTATATTTGGACAATGCACCTTACATTGGTCTCACAGGCCACATAAGTTACTTGGAAAAGAAAAATATTGAAAAATTCAAGAAACTTTTGAATTAGAGTAAATAAAAGAATACTGGGTGGGCGGCAGTCGCCGCTGTTGCCGTATGCACCTCACTTTCTGCAAACTTTGCGGCTCTATATCTCGGTAAGTACTGATGGCCCAAAAAAAATTTTAGGCTTAAAACTCTTAGAAAAATAATCCTAACATTTTCATAAGAAAAAATAATTTTTTTTTCGAATATTTTGCGACATAGAATGACAGTTTCAGAAAGGGGCCTGCTACAGTCAAAGGGTTAAAAACCCTCCTGTTCAGGTGAAACCTCTTTAATAGTTTCCAATTATTGCTTGTGTGTCTGTTATTAACAACAGTTTCTCATCATTCCCATGAAATCTACCATTGGATATATTGTGGTGAACTGCTCTATCTATTCTTTCCCATTAAGGCTCTACCTTTCAAGGTGCATTTCTCACATAATGAAATTACCTTATCTCTTTTGTCTGAATAGATTTTGTTATCAGTAGACAGTCTTCTGCTTCTTGTTAACAGCGAACCTAGTACGAAAGGTTTGACTGTCACCCTATCTGTTGTCTGTTCCCTACCTCGGTTAAATCTTCAAATGATACAATGTACCCCTTCCAAAGTTCAAAATATTTTAAAAACATTATTGTGTACCTTTTTCTATACTATCTTTTCATTGATTGTTATTTTCTCATTTTGTAGGATTCTCTAGTTTATGCTTATTTATATTTTTTTGATATCTTTGTTATACTGTACCTTCTTAATAATTTACTACTAAAAAAATAATCTCCATATTAATAATTATCTGTAATTTTCAGGAAGGGCCTGAGAAAAAGACTTTTGCAGCTCACATGCATCATAATGGCTACAGAACATTCTTTGCTGGAAAATACCTTAATCAGTATGGTAAAACTAACATTGGTGGACTTAATCACATCCCACCAGGGTGGGATTGGTGGATAGGCTTAAAAGGAAATTCACGATATTACAACTACACCCTCTCCATAAATGGGACTCCTGAAAAACATGGCTCAGATCCTAGTAAAGATTACCTAACTAACATTGTCAGACAAAGAGCATTTGATTTTTTAAACCTGTCTTCCTTTTCTAAACCATTTTTTATGATGTTGTCAGTACCTGCTTCACATGCACCATTTACTCCAGAGCCAAAATATTCCAAAAATTATACCTCATTAAAGGCACCAAGAACAAAAAGTTTTAACATTAAAGCAGGGTTAGGCAAGCACTGGCTCTTAAGGCAAGGAGTTCAACCTTTGCCCAATAATATTATTGAAAAAGTTGATGATGCTTTCAGAAATAGACTGAGAACATTACTGACTGTTGATGACATGGTACAGGATGTTATACAATATTTAGAATTAAAACATCAGCTTGAAAATACTTATGTTGTGTTTACATCTGACAATGGATACCATCTAGGACAGTTTTCTTTACCAGTTGACAAGCGAGAGCCATATGAAACTGATATACGAGTGCCCTTCCTAATTCGGGGTCCCAATGTACCTGAAGGAAAAATAATTAATTTTCCAACTTCCAATATTGACCTTGCTCCTACATTTTTGGACTTAGCAGGCTTGCAGATACCCAAGTACATGGATGGCATATCCCTTAAGCCAATAATAACTGTAGAAAGTACAAATTCTATTGCTGTAGATGATAATGACATACCTGTAGATAAAAAGGAGCATTCCATAGGAAAATATAATTTTAGTAATTTTAAAAAATACAGAGAATTACGTCGAACACTTCTGGTAGAGCACTCTGGTGAGGGAAGAGTTGTAAATGAGGGGTGTGAATATATCCCTTCAGGTATGAATGGATGTAATCCTAATTATGCATGTAAATGTGAAGACTCTTCAAACAACACATATTCCTGCTTGAGACAGATTAGCGATGGGGAAAATAGATTATTTTGTAAATGGGATGACGATGAGGCCTTTGAGGAAATGTATGACTTGGATAAGGATCCTTGGCAACTAAATAACACAGTCAAGTCTTTAACCAAAAATGTTCACAAAAAGTTAAGAAATCTTTTGAGGAACATGCAGAGATGTAGAGGTTCAAGGTGTATCGACTTGGCTAGTTTTGTTGTTTAAGGTGTAAAAAATAAGCATCTGATATCTCCACTTGACTTATGCCATCAGTGTCAGTGGTTAAATTAATAAGCATAGACTTAATGGAGTTTTAACTTTCATGATTGAAATCCTTACTTAAATAGCTCATGTATGGTACAAGTTTACCTGTCTTTGATGCTTGGCATCCAAGCTTCTCCAGAGGTTGCAAAGTTCTACACATTAATTCATTTGATACATTAGGATTCTCTAATAGTGCATCTTTGTTGTCAGAAAACATAACAATCATCAGGCACTCCCTTTTAGGTGCTTCTTGAATAATTAGTTTAGTTATGATAGAGTTATTCTTAGAGGAAGGTGCCTTCATGTTGATTGATGAAGGTGCTTATGACCTTTATGGATTTAGCACTTCCTATGACTCTTTTTAACAGTTTTGGTAAATAAAAGGACACAAGTGCAACTAATGTGACATTTTATTGTGGCAACATTTCATTTTCCAGGAACGTTGTCAAGCTGTAATAGTTTGACAAAGCTGCTGGAGAGCGAAACATTGCCACAATAAAATGTCACATCAGTTGCATTTGTATCCTTTTACCTAACATATTGTCAGTAATTCTACCAACATTAATATAGTTTTGGTAAAGGCACTTACCTCTTTCTCCTTGGTATCATTTATTCAAAGTGTCAGTGATCATGTAAGTACTGTATAGGTGCAGTTGAATGTGGTCATCATACAGTGTACAATATTTTTCATTCATTAAAGACTTTACACTGAGTTCTCAGCTTCATGAAAGAATTATACATCCAAAATATGTTTTTTAAAATACATCAAAAGTTTTGGCTGGTGATACTAGGTGATGTGCTCTTATTTTCATTATGTTGACTGCGAGATAAGAAACAGAAACTGGCATATGTTGCGGTAATTTTTTTTACCCTGTTGTGAAGTCTAAACTTCAGGACTTTGTATTGTACATTGGTGTTGCATTCCCTAGTAAGGGGTTCAAACCCCTAGGATATTGTGTTACATATTAGGTTCTTATTCCCTAGTAAGAAGTTGAAATTCGAAGGGCAATATTACACATTGATCATCTCTACTGTTCTGATTTGTTGTTATTATAATAATAGTAACAGTGCAAGTTTTAAGATTATTATAGACTGTTCACTTTTGCAGGAACCTTTACTTAGTGAAGGTGGTTCCAGGATTCTGATGCAGAATCTTCATTTGCTAGATTTATTTTTTAAGAGACCACAATGCAACAAATGAAGCAAATTTCAGAAAACTAACAAATGGATGAGAACTTTCAGAATCAAAATAGAACAGAGTGATGGTACTATCAAATAATCTGTGCTTTCACATGTAAAACACTACTATGTGATCACAACTCTATTCAGGATGGGTGGAGGTAACAGAGCTAGAAGATGTAGAGATCATTTACTTTCTGCATAGCATCAATAAAGTATTTAAGCTACTTAGAATGTACCCTGTGCAGTGAAGAAGTGATAGATCCCTGATAATAAATGCCTGGAAGATATTGGATGGTCAGGTCCCCAGTCTACATTACTACTGTAGCAACTTAGTGAAAGCAGGGGTTCCATAGGCACAGTAAGGAAATGTGTCAACATATGTGACCCTAGACTGCTCAACCTGCTGCCCACAGATAACAAATATTGCTGGAACAGATGTAGTTATAGTCTTCAAGATGAAATGGGACCACTACCCCTACTAGGTGTCAGTGGGCCACTAACAGCAGCAGCCTGGTTAAATTGGCACTCAAAAAGTAAGCTTATCCAAAGACTGGGCCTGTAAGAAGCTCCCAATATTGATCACCAGTATATCAGAGGTGATATTTTAAGTGTCCAGTGGTAGAGTTGCAGCCAACTAGCTTGAGGCTGCACGGAAACTTAAGAAAATGTTTTAATAAACAGTTACTTTAAATTGGGGTAATTGAAGTAAATAAAGTGCCTCTTAAAGTGGATTAGCAAGCCCTCTTGAGGATGGAACCAGTAAACCAGGTGCCACTTGGTACTTCCTGGTATAGTTGTATTTTTCGTAAATTTTTATTCACTTTGTTTTCATTATGCATAAAAGGCAGGCTTTTGCATTTTATTATTTTTGGCTGCAAATAATTATATATCTATACAGTGGACCCCCGAGTTTCGTGATTAATCCATTCCAGAGAGTCTGCCGACTGGCGAAATTCATGATTGGCGAATATTTTCCCCATAAGAAATAATGGAAACCCAATTAATCCGTTTCAGACAGCCATTAGTATTAACAAAAAATAATTTTTTTAAAGAATAAATATAGATTTACATACAGAAAACAATGACAAATAAATATAAAGCACTAATAAAATGGATAAATGAACATTTAACATCACACTTAACCTTTATTGATTCTTGTTGGTGTAGGAGGTAGGTAGGAGGCAAGAGGAAGGTGAGTTTATTATGCTTCAATATGATGCTAATATCATCTCTACAGCTTATTTATCTATCACAGTTCATCTAATATGACATTATAAACAATATTAATAACATAGAATCATGATATATATTCTAGAATGAATAAAATATGTCATAATGTATGAGAGGAGTAAATGGTGTAAGTGTTGTTGTTGGGTTTAACCCTTTGAGGGTCGCCAGGCCCTCTCAGAGACTTGTTCTCAGGGCCAAAATTTAAAAAAAAAATATATATATTTTTTCATATGAAAAGATAAGAGAATCTTTTCCCGATCATAATGACACCAAAAGTATGAAATTTGGTAGAAAACTTACAGAATTATGCTCTCGCGAAGTTAGTGGTCTCGACAATGTTTATGCATCGGCGATTTTGCCCACTTTGAGCCCTATTTTCGGCCAATTCCATTGTACTAGTCGACAAAAATCATAACTATTTCGCTAGAGCTCAGTTTTTTCTATCGAATGAGTACAAGAAACCATCCATTTACCGATTTCAACTATCCAATAAAGTGGTCAGAATTTAGCAATTTTGCCAATTTCACACAAATTTCAAAAGATGCCAATTTCCAAATAGGGTCCAGAATAAACAAGAAAGACATTCCTGGCACTAAAATAACATTTCCTCTGTTCATTAGCCATCCCCATGCCCCTCTTACATTTCTTTTGCTTTCCACTTTGAATTTTTATTCTCACAAAAAATAGAAGATTTACTGTTATGCAGACTACTGTATTAGTGTAGAAATGGTATAAATAATACCAGCGCACTTGTGAAAGAACAGTAGATTCACCAGTTGATGTGTATTGGATACTTGGCATGATTTGTTTACTTTTGAACTTTGGCAAAAATCGAACATTTCTGCTACTTTGAGCTCTATTTCAAAGTACTTTTCATTGTGAAACCAATCAAAATCATCTCAAGTTCTGTAATATGTCTTCCATTCTATAAAATAAGACCAGGAAAACTAGAATACAACCATAAATACCATACGAAAATACAGTGCAAAGTCGCTGTTTTAAACCAAAAACACGGTCAAAGTTTTTTTTTCTCATTACTCACTGTGTGCTGCAGGATTTTTTTATACTGCACACACTGACCACATAGACCCATTCTTTCATATGTAGGCCTACCAGCTTTCTCTTGCTAGATTTGAGGGCGCTAGAATTTATGTGTACTAGTACGTCAAAAACCCTGGCGCGTAAGCCATACTAGTATGGCTGAAACCCCGAAAGGGTTGGGCCGCCACTGAAAGAAGCCGTGTTGGTGGCGGTGGAGGCTTTGGCCACCACCATCATCACACTTAAACAATGTATGTAATTTATAAATAATAAATATTTACATTTTAATTTGTAAATAATTAAGTTTATTCAGGTATACACAAATACAGTTACATACATAGATTATCATACATAGCAGCATATGTGTAAAGTACCCAGGATAACCCAAAAAATTCAAGAGTGACATACATGTATTTCCATTGGTGTCCTTTTATATTTACACATATTTACTTGTATACTTACACTTTTATACATATTTACACTTTCCTTGGAGGAGATGTTAGTTTAATTAGTTAGTTTGATGAAGGAGATGTTGGCAGAGATTTAGAGTGGGGGAAGATAACGGGGCAGTGTATGTTCAGCGGTCCTATACACATCCAACAACTTTGGAGAGTTACTCTCATGTTGTTTTTCTATCGCTAGTTAGTTTGATGAAGGTGATGTCGGCAGAGATTTAGAGTGGTGGAAGATAACGGGGCGGTGTATGTTCAGCGGTCCTATACACATCCAACAACTTTGGAGAGTTACTCTCATGTTGCTTTTCTATCGCTTACTCGCTTAACTTGCTTGCTACACTGTTAATTCTACACTTTATCGCTGGCTGGAGCTATAGCCTTTATCGATACCTGCTGCTTTAGCATCATACATATTGCAGAATCACTGCAGAAGGCACATTCTCAAGGCACATTCTCCCCTCTCTCTTCCTCCTCTACTTTAGTACTTTGCTATGAGTTTTTTCTTGAATTCTGTCGTGTTTCTCACCTTCTTTACCAAAGGGCTGGCACTAGGAGCTTTCTTTGGGCCCATGGTGGCTTATTTAGCAGTTGCAAGCACAAAAAACAATGAATTATTATGAAATGTGTTGTATGAACCCGTGGGGTGATGGTCACATGCTGGTAAACAATGGCAAACTGAGTGTGAATAGTGCTGGAGACTGGCTTTGTTGTGCGCTGGTGGGCAGACGCGTACCAGAAGGTCGCCGAATCTCGAGTCCAATCATGAACCACGAAGCTAAATTTTGCCGAAAGTTGGATTTCACGAAAGTCGCGGCTGCCGAACGGCGGGGGTCCACTGTATGTATGTATGTATGTATGTATGTGTATATGTGTATATATGTGTATATATTTATTATTATTATTGTCACACTGGCCGATTCCCACCAAGGCATGGTGGCCTGAAAAAGAAAAACTTTCACCATCATTCACTCCATCACTGTCTTGCCAGAAGGGTGCTTTACACTACAGGTTTTAAACTGCAACATTAACACCCCTCCTTCAGAGTGCAGGCACTGTACTTCCCATCTCCAGGACTCAAGTCTGGCCTGCCGGTTTCCCTGAACCCCTTCATAAATGTTACTTTGCTCACACTCCAACAGCACGTCAAGTATTAAAAACCATTTGTCTCCATTCACTCCTATCAAACACGCTCACGCATGCCTGCTGGAAGTCCAAGCCCCTCGCACACAAAACCTCCTTTATCCCCTCCCTCCAACCTTTCCTAGGCCGACCCCTACCCCGCCTTCCTTCCACTACAGACTGATACACTCTTGAAGTCACTCTGTTTCGCTCCATTCTCTCTACATGTCCGAACCACCTCAACAACCCTTCCTCAGCCCTCTGGACAACAGTTTTGGTAATCCTGCACCTCCTCCTAACTTCCAAACCACGAATTCTCTGCACTCACTAACATAACATATATATATATATATATATATATATATATAATGTCGTGCCGAATAGGCAGAACTTGCCATCTTGGCTTAAATAGCAATGCTCATCTTGCCATATAGGGCAAGTGAAAATTTGTGTATGCAATAATTTCGCCAAAATCATTCTGAACCTAACGAAAAAAATATATTTCACTGTGTTTATTTAGTATTAAATTATTGTAAACAAATCTAAAATATATTTCGTTGGGTTAGGCTAAAATAAATTGTTTTTGTTATAATAAAGTTAGGTAAATTTTCTAAGTTCCTTTTGGTGCAAAATTATAAATTTTTACATCAACATTAATGAAAAAAATATATATTTAAACGTATAAGAGAAAATTTTAGAGAAGACTTAATTTTAAATGAGTTCTTGCTAATTGACCAGTTTTACATATTCGGCACGACATATATATATATATATATATATATATATATATATATATATATATATATATATATATATATATATATATATATATATATATATATATATATATATATATTATATATATATATATATATATATATATATTATATATATATATATATATATTATATATATATATATATTATATATATATTATATATATATTATATATATATATTATATATATATATATATATATATATATATATATATATATATATATATATATATATATATGCAAAACAACCACTCTGAAAGAATAGAGAAATTCCAAGCGCTTTCGTGACTACTCACATTATCAAGGAACTATGAAAGTGAAGCATCCAAGGAAGCTATATAAGGATGCTTCACTTTCATAGTTCCTTGATAATGTGAGTAGTCACGAAAGCGCTTGGAATTTCTCTATTCTTTCAGAGTGGTTGTTTTGCATATTTTGAAATCACCTGTTTACTGTGATCTTATTGCATATATATATATATATATATATATATATATATATATATTTTTTTTACGTTAGTGGCCATCTCTTGCCAAGGCAGGGTGATACATAGAAGAAAACACATTCACCATTATTCATTCAATCACTGCCTTGCCAGAAGTGTTCTGACATTTTATAATTATATGTAATTGCCAGTGTTACTCATTGATAAAATGTGCTCAGTAAATTCACAGTTATATCTTGCAGTCTGTTTTGTTGTTTCTGAACAACACATTATCTTAGATCATTCTTAATTAAATTAGTTAACTGCCCAACCTCCAGCTGTCCACAGCCTAAAAAACAATGAATGTGATTCATGTTATGTTTTCCATTTAAATCGTTTGGGGAATTTAATGATTTATCTCACTGATATGCTTACCCCTCATCCCCCTAGTCAAATAGTTTCTGGATCTGGGCGAGCATTATATTCTGTATTTTGAATGTTTTATGTCAGGGGATTTAATAGTATGCAAATAATGTTTGCAGTTTTCATTTTACAATGTATTTGATTATTTTTATGCTAACTGTTCTTTTTAAATGTGCCATAATGTCCCTTTATGCTGGCTCCGGTGTCTGGTGTGATGCACTGCTCAGGGTTGTAGTTACTCTGAGAGTAATGACAGCAGAGTTAAATTAATGGTAGTTGAGCCTGCAAAATTGCTGAGAGTACTGTAGATGCTTTCACTTAAAATTGGCTAATCAAGGAGATAACAGAAGGAATTGAGTGGGAATGGTAGAATTAGACAGCAAGATAAAGCATATTAGTAATCCTTCACTAGGGGTGCCTTATTGCAAATGA